TTTTGCCATGAGACCTTCATGGCTCCGGAAAGCCTGCAGGACACAGTGAAAGCAGCTGGGTAGCAATGGGTTTCTGCAAGTTTTATTTTTAAAATCTATTGCAGCCCCTGAAGGGGCTCTGAGGTCTTCAAAGAGCTGGCTGTTTCCCTCCTCCTCCCTCCAACCCCCTAGCCCTATCATTCTAGCGATGGCCCTGTTTGGGGGAAAAGCCTCTGTAGAATTCCAACAAACTGACCCCGTGGACGGGAAGTCTCTCCCATCAGCCGCTGTGCTAGGGCAGCTCTCCAGGATCCTGCCTTCTGCAGCATTCGCATCCTCCTCCTCCAGAGGACTCACCCACTTGGACCTATCAGCATGCATATTCACTTTAGCAAAAGAACATGGGGTACGTTTTGCAAACAGTTATGGTTTTCTGAAAGTGCCCAGGTTAAGTGACAAAATACCAGTGGTACCTAGAAATCATTCAGAGAAAAAGCTCACCTTGGAGAACTGAAACTCTTGGCAAGAGTGCCAAAATCTGTAGGAAACCCCAACTCCTCCTTTGCCCCTTCTCCCCACTTCCCCAGCTCTGAGTCTCCCAGGCAGCCTGCTGCAGCCACCCCGTGACAACACAGGCCCTGCACACAGCAGAGGCACAAGGAATACCAAATGCCCCTCATGCCACATTATCCACTCTGCTTGGCAACAATTAATTATTTGACATTGTAACTGTTGGACTTGAGGACATTTGGTACCGAGAAAAGCAGGTTTTAAAAATCTGAGGGGTGGGGACCAGCAGTTAGCATTATGGCTATGTCGCTGAATTTCCATGTAGTCAACCGCATTTCTAGTCCTGGACCTGATGGCTTAAACTCATGCTGGGCACATGTGCGTGCGTGCCCAGGATCCCAGGAGGAGAATGGAGGAGAAGGGATTGTGGCGTGGCCATCTCCCCTGGGGGGTGATTTCTCGCTTTCTGTCTCTGTGTTTCTCTCTGTCTCTCTGGCAAGTGCACATGCCCTATAGCAAAAACCTCTCCAAAAAAAAAAAAATCTGAGGGGTAGGGGCCAGCAGGTGATGTGGTCATTAAAGGCGCTGGATCACATGGCCAACTGTGATTTGAGTCCTGGACCTGGCAGCATGCTTTCTCCCTTTCATGTGGACCATGAGGTCCACATGCTCTGATTCCTAAATTCATTTTAGAAAGTGAATTTCTAAACTAAGTCTAAAGAACTAGGTCTGACTGCTTCCTTTTCAGCAGATACGGTAGCCAATCATTTCACTCAAGAGGTGGGAAATTTAGAATATCTGTGTTCACAGCACAGGCCAAATACAATCATAGAAAATAAATGAGAAACATAGGAACAATGAAGTTCATGACCTCATGAATGATAAAGTTCTACTTTGAGATGAGTTATATAGAACAAAGTGAGGAGGGACTTTTAAATAACAAAGTAATGCAATCTTGTTCATTTATTTTATAATTATATTATTTTGTTTTTTAATTTGTAAGAAGGTATGTGTGCTCATGAGAGTGAGAGAGAGAGAGAAAGCACCCCACCCCAATGGGGCATGGTCACACTGCAATCCCTTCTCCTCCATCTCTCTCTCCTGTAAGGATTTTGGGCATGCATGCACATATGCCTGGTGTGTTTTTCAAGACACTTGGGACTTGAACTGTGTGGTGAGCCATGTGGGATCCAGCCACCTTAATCACTAGGCCATGTGCTAGCCCCTGATTTTGTAATTTCAGATTAAAATGGAATTGTAAGAAATTAGAACGGGATTAAGAGATTTGAAGATAAAGAACACATGAGTTGAATGCTAAGATACTGAAAAAGGGGCCAGATGGTGGCATATGATGTTTTGTAAGGCAGACCCACATGGGAAGGTTGCTAGTTTGTGTGTGGAGACCTCTCTGAGCACACCCAGCAAAAATGCGTCCATGATAAAGGCTGGCCAGGGACTCGAACCACAGTTTCCATGTGGTTTCCAGTACTGCAGTTCAGCATACTACCACCTATGCCACCACAACTGTGCTAAAGGTGGATTTTTTTTTTTGAGAGACTTTTCCCATAGGGTATGTGCGCTCACCAGAGAGACAGAAAGTGAGAAATCATCCTGCAAGGGTCAATGGCCATGCCACAATCCCTTCTCCATTCTCATTGGACTTTGAGCACACTTGCCCACACATGCACTCGGTGTGAGTTTTAAGCTGCTGGGTCCAGGACTCGAACCATGGTCGACTAGGTGGGAGTCCAGTGACATAACCATTACACCACCTGCTGGCTCTTTAAAGTGGAAATTTTAGTAAGGAAAATCTACATGCACTTGGTAGCCACATACCCTGTGGGGCACAGTCCTCTGTTACAGCCCTGCATTGTGAATGCTGCTGCAGCACAGATTAAAAATGAGTCACAGAACACTGAATCCTGTGTCCACACTCTCTCCTTGGGTTCTTGACCCAGGGAAGAGCTGCTGACATTATCATCCTCTAATTGCCCTTTCAGGTGTGAGATCTTAATTGTAGCACCCAGGGTTTTATTCCTACTCACTAGGAGCCTCACACAAAAACAAGTCAGAGAAGAAACACAATACTTTTTTTTTTTTTTCCTCACCTGTCTAGAACAAGGTCTGGAGCAAAGATGAGCTTGCCAGGGTGGTCGATTGAGCGCCACATCAGCCCCACCATTAGCACCTCCAGCCAGCAGCTCTCCAAGAGCCGCACTTGATCGAACAGGCTGAGCTCAACAAAGCCTGGGGAAAGCAAGAGGCTGTGAGACACACCCACCCTCCTCAGCTCCCTGTTTCTGTAAAAACAGGACAGCAAGTTTTAAAAAGCAAAGAAAACACAAACAATTGGGGAATGTAGTCTCTCTCTCTATATATATATTTAAGGTATTTTTGCTATAAGGTGTGTGCACTTGCCAAAGAGACAGAGACAGAAAGTGAGAAGTCATCCCTCAGGAAGGATGGCCAGGCCGCGTGCCCTTCTCCTCCATTCTCCTCTCAGGATTTTGGGCACACACGCACATGCACCAGCATGAGTTTTAAGCCGCTGGGTCTGGGACTCAAACCACAATCAAGGATATCATTTAATACTAGCTAAACAAAGAAAACTGAACTTAAGATGTACAACTTGGAGTTTCCACTCTTGAACCCCTTCTAGAGACAAATAAATTTCGTTAAGAGTATATGAAGGGAACCAGCAGTTAGCGTAATGGCTATGTCGCTGGACTCCCACGTAGTCGACCGCGGTTCGTGTCCCAGACCCGGTGGCTTAAAACTCACACCGGGCGCGTGCATGTGCGTGCCCAAGATCCCGAGAGGAGAATGGAGGAGAAGGGATTGCGGCGTGGCCATCCCCCCTGGGGGGTGATTTCTCGCTTTCTGTCTCTATGTCTCTCTCTGTCTGTCTGGCGAGCGCACACGCCCTACAGTGAAAATCTCTCCGAAATAAAAAAAAGAGTATATGAAGTCCTATTACCTGGGCTCATTCAGCTCCCTGACGGATGGCAGAGAAGAATGAAAAGCAGGAACTGATCTTTTTAAGCTGTCTTCTATTCATCCTCTGCTCTGCTATGAAATGCTCACTGCTAGCAGGGGGTCTGCCTGTCTGACCCAGTCCACTGAAGGCGTGGAGGAATAGGGTAGGTAGTGTGTGGGGGTGAGGAATGTGCAGAGATCAGCGCTAGACCTGCAGAAAGTCAAAGCTTTGATAAAAATGATTTTTCTGAGGGCTGGCAGGTGATGTGTTAAGGCGTTGGTTAAGGCACAGGACTCCCACAGGGCCGACTGTGGTTTAAGCCCTGGACCTGGTGGCTTGCTTTCTCACTTACCCTTCTCTTTCTCTGTCTCTCTGGTCAAATTTTAAAAAATAATAATTTGATTTTAAAAATTTGAGGATTGGCAGGTAGTGTCATGGTTGAGGTGCTGAACTCCCACATGGCCGGCCGTGGTTCGAATCCCAGACCTGGTGGCTTGCTTTCTCACCCTCCCTTTCTCTGTCCAAATTGAAAATAAATAAATAAATAAATAAACAAACAAAATTAAATAAATAAATAATTCTTTAAAAAAATTTTAACATATGATTTCTCTTAATATTTCCCATCCGGTGTTAGACTCATCCTCTGGGTGGGAGCATTGTTTCTGAGCCATGCCATGCCGTCCTATGGAGATAACGTAACAGCTGAAGCAGGTCCCAATAGCAGAAAAGCATGTACTGGTCATTGCACTGGGAAGGTATAAGGAAGTGAGCACACAGGGGCTTCCTCCACAAACCAGATAAAAGGAGAGGCAATGTCCACAGCCCTGCAGTGAAAGGAACTCCAGTTTGAACCCCAGCTTAGGGTCTTCCTGGTTAGTCACTCTCCTTTTACAGCTTTCTTTTTCTCATGGGAAAAATGGGAGTAATAATGCCCACCTCTGAGAATTTCCTACAGGAAGGACCAGCAGTTATCATAATGGCTATGTCACCGGACTCCCACATAGTTGACCGCGGTTCGTGTCCCAGACCCGGTGGCTTAAAACTCACGCTGGGCACGTGTGCGTGCGTGTCCAAGATCCCAAGAGGAGAATGAAGGAGAAGGGATTGCAGCGTGGCCATCCCCCCTAGGGAGTGATTTCTTGCTTTCTGTCTCGCTGTCTCTGTCTGTCTGGGGCCCTATAGCAAAAACTTCTAAAAAAAAAAAAGAAAGAAAGAAAGAAAAAAAGATTTCCTACAGGAAAGGTCTCTTATCATTCTCACTTTACATATGAGGAAACTATGGCCCAGAGAGCAACACATGGTTCTAGTGTTTGAACGATTACGCAAATCTATACAAAGGAGAATTTCCTGGAGTACTGATTGTTAAAACCAGTAACTCCTTTCCAAAGCTATGTGCTTATGCCTGGGTTCCTCACAGGCACACATGGTCCAGGTTCACCCATAGTTACAGACAATAAGCCTACCCTAGAGAGAGTAACCTTTTCTTTTTAAAGAATTATTTTATTTAACTTGATCTATTTTTAAGAATTATTTTATTTAACTTTATTTATTATTATTATTATTATTATTTCCAATTTGATCAGAGACAGAGAGAGAGAGAGAAAATGAGAAAGCAAGTGACCAGATCGACTTGAACCATGGTTGTGAGAGTCCAGCGCCTTTAACCATCATGCCACCTGCCAGCCCCTTATTTACTTTAATTTGACCAGAGAAGGACAGAGTGAGAGAGGGAAAGTGAGAAAGCAAGCCTCCAGGTCTGGGACTCAAACCGTGGTCGGCCATGTGGGAGCCCAGTGCCCTTAACCACCACACCACCTGCCGGCCTTGAACAAGATCAAGGTGAGGTGACATTTTAGTATGTTTATGGTTTGGACAATGGCTATGTCAGCTGAGAGAGAGAGGGAAAACATATCATACCTTCAAACTATGTCTAAGTTTTCTGAAAAACTTTCAAAATACAGGCTTGAAGGGGACTAATGCAGCTTAAGGGGACTGTTAGGGCATAAAGACGCTGCACAGCGTTTAGCAGTCATTAATTTCACCACCACGTTCCACTTGAGGTCCTGTGAAACAGTATCTGGAAAACACTGAAATCCAACTAGAGGAAATGGTATCCCCTCTGGGAAAAAAAAAAGCAGAAGAAACAGAAAAATACAATTTGGGCAGAGGTGAAGATGCTAGACAAAACAAAATGGAGCTGGAAACCAAAAAACCCTCAGCAGGCTCAGAAAGAATGTGTCCAGACAGACAAATGACCCTAAGAGACACTCTCCCTGCAGGCCTCTACGTCCATAGCTCTTCATCTCAGACTGCTCCTCCTGCGGCCTAGAACAGGACAACTATAGAGCATACATAAGGAGGCCCCTCCAGGGGGTGACGGGTAGCTACTCTTCTATCGTAGAATCCTAAACTTAATCCTCTAGAGAAATACCCATCAAATGGCAATGAGTTGGCTTTTTTATCACAATATAGTACTTCAGGAATATGGTATAAACAGTACAGGGAAGTGGCCACTCTTTAGGATGAAAAATGCTGGTTCCAGTGACAATTTACAAGTAACTAAGCCTATTTTTAACTTATGGACGTTTCAGATATATTGGCCCATTGATGATTCATTTACTTCAATTGCTGATTTACTCTATTGGTCCTTATATATTCTCAATTGGAGCCATATTTTACAAATTCTTATTTGGCGTCTGATAAAAACTTTCACTTTCATACCCATCAGACTGCACTACACCCCACCCCCACCTGACCACACTCTTCTTGTCAACGTGAGAAGTCCCCAGCCAAGAATGGATCAATATAGGGCCCATATCCCTTCCTTTTTAACATCTTCCAGGTCCTAAGACTCCAGGATTCCTTGCCCAAATGGCCCAAGTCCTATTCCAGAGCCTGGGTGTATCTCTACCCTGGGTTCATGCTCCCAGACCACACCTAGGAATGAGAGAGAGCCAAGAGCCGAGGGGGTACAGATGTGGACCTGAACGATGGGGTGTGTACAAGACAGTAGGGGATAGATCTGGAGGTGGGAAAAGAAAGGGGTCAGGTATAGAAACTGTGAGGCCATTACAGCTCCTTCTGCACTGCCATGTCTGGTATAGAAGGACTCAGAGGCACCTGAGAATTCTAAATCAGAACCTGTTTTCTAGGACATGTTAAAGATAGAAGTCAAGATAGGAAAAAACTTTTTTTTTTCTTCTCTTTCTTCTTTTTGTAGGTTTTCATTTGCCAGAGTGCAGAAGCACTTGACAGAGACAGAGAGAGAACGCATCCTCCATGAGGGATAGTTACCCTGCAATCCCTTCTCCTCCATTTCCCTCTCCTTTCAGGATTCTGCACACATGTGTGTACACACAGATCCAGCATGTTTTCTAAGCCACTGAATCTGGGATTTGAACCACAGAGTTGACCATGTGGGATCCAGCTGCTTTGATCATCATGCTACCAGTTGGCTTGAAGGTATTTCATTTCAAAGTTAGAGATCAAGCCGTCAAGCTGTACTCTAGCCTCAGAGATGTTAAAGGCAGGCCTTTCTTCAAATAAATGGAAAGCTACTACCCAGAGAGCCCTACCAGGAATCTTCTTGGCCCAGCCGATCATGTGTACCAATTCCTTGTCGGCCAGCTTGGTCAGGGACATCATCATGGAGGCTTCGGTGAAGGGCGTGCTGGGCCGGCTCACCAGCACGTTGGGCGGCTCAGCCTCCAGGAGGGTGAGCACCAACTGCTCTGGGCTCAGGGCGTTCAGCAGCAGCTCCTTCGTGTGGCCACCATTTTTCCTGGACTTGCTCTGGCAGTGCAGCTGTTCCTCGGAATTTCTCTGTCTTCGTACTATGCGGTATCCACACCTCTCTCTCCGGGAGCCTGCAGAAGAAAGCAGATGGTGATACCATACAGTCCCTGACCCAGCTGTCAAGCTCCCTAGGCACCAGGGTAAAGCAAAGCAGTGATACTACAGTAAGACCTGAGTCTGTTCTCAGAATGCATCTTTCACAAGCCTTTGTTTATTTTAAGACAGTGACTTGTTCTATGTGGTCTTTGTGCCTCAGCCAGACCAACAGAAGCATGGCTTTTATTTTCTGGAGCATGTGGGTCAAGTGTTTAGGATTATTACAGTTGTAACTATATTTGCAAAGTAAAAAACCTAACTTTTTTTCTTTTTAGAGAGTTGTTTTTGTTTTTTGTGGTTTTTGTTTTTTTGTGTTTTGGTTTTTGGTTTGTTTGTTTGTTTGTTATTGGGCTTGTGCACTTGCCAGAGAGACAGAAAATGAGAAATCACCCCCCAGGGGGGATGGCCATGCCGCAATCCAAACTTTCATTCTCTTCAGGACTTCAGGCTCTCTCTCCCTCTCTCTCTCTCTCTCTCTCACACACACACACACACACACCTGGTATGAGTTTTAAGCGCAACACAGTTTTAAGCCACAGTTCTGGGGCTCGAATCATGGTTGACTACGTGGGAGTCCAGCAACATAACCATTATTCCAACTGCTGGTCCAAAGAACATAACTTTTTACATCTCCATTCCAAGATCATCAAAAACCATTTCTTCTCTTAAAGAGTGCTTAGGTTCTGGGCTACCCAAAGACTTATGGTTAAGGGAGCCAGATCCCACATGGCCAAGAGCAACTTGAATCCAGCCCCAGGGACTTGAAAAATATACCAGGCACATGTATGTGCATGCTCAAAATTCAAATAGATGGAGAAACAGAGAAGGGATTGTGGTGTGACCATTGGGAGTTCTCCCTCTCTGTCTCTGACACATGCATGCCCTCTGGAGAGGAAAAAGTGCTCAGTTTCCAAATCTTGACATTTGTAATTTTCCTTGGATAGAAAGGAGGCTGCTAGATCCCACATGGTCAACTGTGTGGTTTAAGTCCTAAGCCTGGATTAACTTAGAAAACACACTGGGCACAAGTGCATGTATATGTGCCCAAAATCTTGAGAGGAGGATGGAGGAAAGGGGACTGTGGCATGACCATCTCCCCTGAGGGGCACTTTCTTGCTACCTGCCTTTGTGTTCCTCCTCTCTGGCAAGCACGCATGCCCTCCAGCAATTAAGAAAGGAAGGAAGGAAGAAAGGAAGGAAGGAAGGAAGGAAGGAAGGAAGGAAGGAAGGAAGGAAGGAAGGAAGGAAATAGGAAAAAAGTTAGGATTTTATTGCTATTTCAAAATTTACTGAATAATATACTCTCATAATACATCCTAAAAATGTTATATGAACGTGTATACATATATATTTTTCCTTTTGATAAGTTAATATAAATGAGTATTTCAAATAATAAATCAATTTTTTTAAATATGGAAAATTTAAAAACTGGAAAATATATGATAATGAATTTTGGCAAAACTTCTTCCAGTCTTAATGCTTTTATATATTTTTATATAAACATTTTTTTCTGAGAAGACGCTTACATTGCTGCTGAGAACTAGTGATTTCACATGGAGGACTCACACAGTTTTTAATTTTTGCTATTTAAAAAAATTTTTTTTTCTTCTTTTCTCACATTTTTTTTCTTCTTCTCTCTCTGTTTCCTTATCCTTTTTCTTTTGCCTCATCACTTTGTTGCTCACTCTCCATTCGCTGTGTCTAGATGGATCTAAGGGAACTATAGCCAAACATCCAAATACTATTAGGGTCAACATATTCCTCTATACCCACTGAATGTGCTACATAAATGGATAAAAAACCAGAATGGCTAGGAGATTGCAGATCACCTCCTTCTGAACACCCCTGAATGCTCAGATTGAACTCCTAGAAATTAAGAAGAAGTGCATAAACCCATCAGATGACTAGAAATCACTGCAAAGAAACCACAAGAAATATGAGAAACCAAATAATAACCCCCCAAGGGAAAAGAATAACTCCTCTTCATCACAGACATTTCAATGGAAATCATGGAACTGTCTGATAAAGAATTTAGAATATTCATAGTGACCACGTTAACAAAGATGCAAGAGAAAAGAGACAATGCACTCCAGAAGAGACAGGAGAATAGAGCCCAGGAGTTCCAGGAGGTGAGGAAGTTCTTGCGCAATCTGAAAGAGGAAATACACATCATAAAAAAGAATCAAACAGAACTGTTAGAGATGAAGGTTGTAATACAGGAAATCAAAACCTCCCTTGAAAGTATTAAAAGTAGACTAGATTATACAGAAGATTGCATCTCAGATATAGAAAACAGAATCGCTGGCCTAAAAAATATTCCACCACAAAGACTGAGAAAATAGTCCAAATAAATGAGAATATACAAGAAATACTAGATATCATCAAACGTCCAAACATCCAGATAATTGGTATCTTAGAAGGTGAAGAGACTTATAAGAGCATTGATAATCTATTCCATGAAATCCTGGAAGAAAATTTCTCAAACCTAGAGAGGCATTCAAAGATCCAGACCCAAGAAATACATAGGACCCCAAATAGAATCAACCCCAGAAGATCTTCTCCAAGACACAGTACAGCCAGATTGACCAAAACCACAGACAAAGACAAGGTACTCAGACTGGCAAGAGAGAAACGACAAGTTACCTACAAAGAATATCCCATTAGGCTAACAGTGGACCTCTCATCAGAAACCATGCGAGCAAGAAAAGAATGGGAAAATATATTCAAAGTGTTGAGTGAAAAACAATTTCAACCAAGAATACTACACCAAGCAAGATTATCCTTCATATGGGAAGAGAAGACAAGAACATTCTCAGATAAACGAAACCTGAAAGAATTTACCAACACCAGACTAGTTCTCCAAGAAGTTCTGAAGAGAGTGTTACATCAGGAAAACTAAAGTCAGACACACAGAAATAAGTTTAAAAAAATCTAAGAAAAGGGCCAACTTGACGGTAGGGACAAGTCCAGAGTTGAATATTATCTTCCAGAATTTAAACAGAAAGCTTGAACCACAACAGAAATTAGATTAAGTACACGAGGCTGAGCTGATGAAATAGAATTGTATGGCTTTTGACTAAAACAATACTGATCTTTTTCTATGCTTTGTAGTCCAGAGATAAGGATTTTTTTCTTCTCTTGAATTGTCAACAGATCCAGATAACTACTATTTAAACAGAATCCTAACCTGCTTCCTGGCTTTAAGTCTTAAGCAAAATTCTCTTAATATTTTTTATTTTGATTTATTAAAGCTAAAACTGACTTTCTTGAAATTAAAAAACATATTTAAAATACCTATTTAATGACCACAGTAAGCTATATAGCCTCCGCGAGGTGCTATTTTACAGTATATTCATTCTACTCAGTTTCATGCCTAAAGTCAAACATTTGTTCAGAGATATTTATATGTCAGCTCAACTTGCTATTGAAAGTAGTTAGATTAATTAAGATATTTTGTTAACCAATAAAATGTGGAGGGGGTGTGGGGGGAGAGCAATGGGAAGCAACTGCAGACACTAAAGTGAGAGGAGGATGGGATACGGCAGAGGATGAGAAATGGGGATGGATAGATAGATAGATAGAATGATCGATCAAGAAATGGAAAATTATTTGTGATGATAACATGTATGACTAAATCACTATACAGTATATTCTGAATGGGAAACTGTATCTTGTATGCTGTGATGATGTTAAGTGGGAATAAATTAAGGCAATTTTTCCATTAAGCAAAGACTGAGATGATGTATTATTCACAGCCCTTTGAAATAACTGCTAGTGCACTTTGGAGGATAGATACAAATGAACCAGAAGTGGGGCCATCAGGTGGTGTGGTGGTTAAGGGCTCTGGACTCCCACATGGCCGACCGCGGTTTGAGTACCGGATTCAGTGACTTGCTTTTTCACTTTGTCTCTCTCTTGCTTACTCACTCACTCTGTTCCTGTCTGGTCAAATTAAAATAAGCAAATAAATAAATAAAGTTAAATAAAATAATTCTAAAAAAAAAAAGAAACAGAAGAAAATAACACTATTCAAGGAAGCAATGAAAACAAAAGAAATTGGTACATGTGGGTTTTAATCTAGCACAGCATTGAATTAATAAAATAATAACACCAGACAACATGTAAGATGAGTGAGAAGGACCACCTCCATGGTGCAGTGGTACACTGCTCAAGAGAAGCCGGATTCCACATGGCCACCAAGGTTTGAGTCCTGGCCTCGGCAACCTGTACCATGCTGGAGGATGGGATGAGGGGGATTACAGTGTGACCAGACCTTTGTTCTCAGACACAGCTTTCAGCATGGCCCCTCACACTGAGAAGGAGACATGAACACTCACCGCACTTCACCATTCCTACTTCATAGCACTTGCGGAGTCGGCAGGCCTGGCAGCTTTTGCGCCTGTTCTTATCTATTGTACACTGGTTTGTAGCTGGACAAATATAATCATTATGTCCTGCAGCAGAGCAGAGAAAGAGAGAGAGAGAGAGAAGAAGGAATGTCATTGTTAATAGTTTGTTAAATCTCTTCCTGGTCAACAATAATTGATATCCCTACCTAGCTGAGTTATGGAGACATCCTCTTAATGTCGGGAACAGGTAAAGGGCTAAAGTTAGGCCACATTGTTGCCTTGTTAGCAAGGGAAGTAGATGTAGGGATATTTTAATATCCTACTTTTTGACTAATAGTTTATTCTCTGCATGTTTCTAGAATTTTCAAGAGATACAGCTATACATGCGCTTGTTTGGACGTAGACAGTGAAACATTCACATAAGGACAATTTGCTCCCAATCACAGAATTCCTCAAGAGTTGTATTTACATATGAACTCACCAGATTCAAATTACTTTACATATCATTATACATACCTACATTTCTCTTTGGAATTCAAGATGATTTTTTTATGGAAATGCATAGTCAAATAAGAGAACTAAATCAAAAGGAATAAAGAAATGAACGATCTAAATAAAAACATAGAGAACTGCTACTTGACAAGAGTTGTGGCGGATTAGGTCACTGTTCTCAGTTCTTCACTCCTCAGCCCTGTGACCTTGCAGTGTATTAGAGTGGGCAGAATATACTTAGTCCCCACTAACTGATGTTGGCCCTGGCCATGAAACTGTCTTAGCCAATGGCATGTCAACAGATGTGCTACTCCAATAGTTTGACTTGGTCTCTTATGCTGCTGGTCCAAAAAGAATGTAGGAACAAGTGGAGGAGACTGGAACTCAACCCAAAGCCAGAATACAGCCTTACGAAGTAGGGATACCATAACCAACTCATCGACTAGTAAGCACAAAAAATACTGCTTATTGCAGGATTTTGCAGTTGTTCCTTATATAACAATCTCTAAAACAATGGTTACTTTTAGGTTTTTGTTGTTGTTGTTGTTGTTTTTAATTCGCCAGAGGGCACACTCATCCTTTGGAGAGAGACAGACACACAAATATAAAGTGAGAAAGCACCTCCCATAGGGCACGGTTACACCACAATCCCTTCTCCACTTCTTCCTGCCTTAGGGCTTTTGGGCATGCACACGCACCTACCCAGTATGTTTTTCTCAAGCCTCCTGGTCTGGGACTCAAAACACATGGTCAGCCAGG